GAGGTTTAGCAAATTTGTGGTTTACTTACAAATAAATATATTCCTATTAAGTGTGTCTCTTAACACAAGCTGATAACTTTTCAGAAATCAATCAATTTCTTTCATGATGCATTTTCAACAAGTGTTGGAACACCTGATCAACACAAGATTCATGGTCAACAGTTAGATTTCTCTACTTATAAAAATCTGTTATACAAAACACTGGCATTAATACACAACTTTTATTATCATTTTAGAAACAGTTCTCAATCTTTTCTCCCTTAATTATTTGGATTTAAAATGTTACCTCAGAAGTTAAATTATTTTTAAGTATTTTAGTCTTCAAGTTTAGAATTGTTAGAATAAGAGTGATCGCAAAAAAAAAATATTAAAAGCTTGCTTCCTTCTTTTTTCTTTCACAAATATAAGCATGTAAACATATAACTGCATCCACCTTGACAGGAGAAACCGTCATTAGATTAGGCATGTTTTAAACCAACTTGGCCACAGAATGCATCATTGATCAAACAAAGTTGAATAGTGCCTCATAAACACAAATCATTCTCAAACTCTCAAAGATGGAGGTTTGTATCCTGCCAGAGAGTGCATATTTTCCCTTAATAAAATTTCTTGAACATTACGATATAAACATTCAGAAATCATACTTTGCCCATGAACTCATGAATATCAGCATTTTGTACTTATAAAAAAAAAATCTTTTGGAACTTGAATAACAGCAATTCATTATTTTCTTTTAACAAAGTTGATAGAAAAAGCCTTTGGGCTTTTATTAATGCAAAGAGGATTCAAGTATCTTTCTCTTAGGTTTCATTTTTAAAAACGGGGGACAGGAAGGGGGGGTTAACATTTCATATAGCAGCTCAATCTTAAGCTTAAAAATACATATATCATACAAAATTCTTTTTTCTTTAAAACAAAAATATTTAAAAATTTAGACAAGTTTGGCTAAAAATTGAAGAGAAATATTTTCTCTTAATTTTATCAACTTCTTTGAGTTTCTCAACATATGCATACAATAGGATTTGTAGCCCCACTAGAGAATATTGTATGTTAGCTGCAATTTAAAAGTTCCTGTTGATTAATCCCTATGACTCGATATCCATTCTGCTCTCTCAGCAAATGGCTTACTGAATAAAGAGAGACGAGAGTTTGGAAAAACTAGCCTATTGATTATAGTTTAGTATACTAACATTCTTCTTATTTCATTAACTATTTACTATTAAGACTTGTATTGTCATTGTTTTCATCACAATGTTTTTGGTTGGCAAGAGTGACAACTAAAATGATGCTGTTGTGAAAATAAAGATTTTAGTAAAAGGCATTTGTGAAATAAACTTGCAGAAAAGTTATAATATATAGAAATGTATATAAAAAGGCAGACATGCTAGATATGAAAATGTTGAAAATTTCATACTTTCATTACTAATCGAGTAAAGAGTAAATTTTCACTACTGACCAATTTCAGAGAAACAATTGTTCCCTTGTGTCAGACGTAGATTACCAACATGTTATTGATGTTTGCGTATGCATGCATGTGCACGCGCGCGCGCACACAGTGATAGACATGACAAAAGTAAAGCAGAGTATCATTAATGCCAAGAGAAGGTGAATTAAAACTTAATTCATCTAATCATTCACTTAGATTAAAACCAAATCGGACATTAATGAATTGTGTGCAAAAGATTTCAGTTCATTTACTTGAGAAATGACAAAGAGAAGAAAGTAAATCATATACACACACACAGAGTATGGAATGTCACAATCTTATATATTCCCCTGTCCCATCCAAACAGACAATAATGGAGAAAGGCAAGCAAATGCACTCTGCCCTATTAATTGCATGTGTATATCAGTTTCACTTAATGTCAAGTACAGTGTTTTTATTTTTAATACATTATCACTACTTTAATGTTAACTCAAGAGAGAAAGAATGTTTCTCTTGATAATACTCAGTTTCATTAATATTTTATTGTATTATTTATTATTGGGACATTTTTCATTTTCGTTGCTGGTAACTCTTCTAGAAGCAAACAGTTAAACTGATAATTTAAAGCTCAAGTTGCAGCCAAATTAAGACTAGATAAATATAAAAATAAAACCAATTTTGATTCAACAGAATATAAAAGAGCAAAGCACATTGTAAATCTTGTTGAAACTCCCCAAAATAATAAAAATAATCAATATCTTGCAAAACAAGAATGTTTATTAGCAATCTAAATAAATATTCAGATAATCTATGATGCAATCGCATATATCTTGGTGCCAGTTAGATTCAAATGCAAAACATCTTTTGGTTTAAAAGATATAAATAAACAAGTAATCTTAATGATATGAAAGAAAAAAAATTGCAGCTTCAAATGATAAGACAATTTTCTAATAAATCAATAACAGATGTTTACAATCAGGTAATGGAAGGGTCTAAGAGCCTCCTCAGTGGGCCTAGTGTAAAAATTGAACACCACATGAGAATGTGTGATTAAGAAAGAATAGTTTAAGGCAC